TTGCTCAATTTTTAAGCTTTGCTCATGTTCTTGGACATTTTGGAAAGGTCTTGAAGTCCTCTAACCAATTCCTTTGGTCCCATGTCATTTTTATTTACCAATCTCAAGTTATGGCCTTTGACTTAAAGTCCCTTTTTGTTGACTTTTGAAAATGACCTATAATGTTGAAATTGATAACTTTTTGTGAGAGCATTTCTTGGACTTGAAGTGTGAAGAGGAGTTGTAGGAAATGTCTTTCTCTTAAAAATGAGCTTTGGATGGAATTTTTCTGATAATCCATGTGGAAGTTATGCCTTGGTCAAGTTACAGTTGACGTTTTCAACTGTCCAAATATGGAAACTTTTGCATCTTGAGACTTTTTGAGCCAAGCTTTGAGAATCATGATCAAGCATTGATCAAATGATGTTTGTGGCTTCAAAATGAGATGTTGACCAAAAATTTGAACTTTTGACTGTCAAATGACCATTTTGCCCCTACAGTTGACTGTAGTGCAATTAGGGTTTTTGACTTGTGCAATTTTGTGCTGTAAGTCTTGAAACTTGACATGAGGATGCTTGACCATGTTTATAAGCATGTGGGACTTGATTGGACCCTTGGAAACTTCATTTTCTTTGTCAGAACCAAAACCCTAGTTTTTGACTGTTAGGAGGCCCTTGAACTGTGCAACCCTTGGGGAGATTTTGAAGCATGCTCTTTGCAATTCTTGAAGAATATGGGAGGGTAAATTTTGGGGTACAACAGCCTAGCATGCTCAAAGATTGCATAGACTTTGCTAAAGGATGTGAGGAATGTCAGAAACATGCAGGGATTCAACATGCCCCTGCAAGTGAGTTGCATTCGATCATCAAACCATGGCCATTTAGAGGATGGGCATTGGATTTGATAGGAGAAATAAATCCTGCTTCGTCCAAAGGACAGAAATATATCTTGGTAGGAATAGATTATTTTACCAAGTGGATCGAAGCTATACCATTAATAGTCGCTGATCAAGAGGCTATTATTGAGTTTATACAGAAACACATTATCTATAGGTTCGGATTGCCAGAGAGCATAACCACAGACCAAGGTTCTGTGTTTACTGGTAGAAAGATGCAAGAATTTGCCCAAGAAATGGGATTTAGATTGCTAACATCAACGCCATATTATGCTCAAGAAAACGGTCAAGTCGAAGCAGCCAATAAAGTAATAATAGGGTTAATCAAGAAACATATTGGTAAAAAGCCAAGAAACTGGCACAAAACTTTGGACCAAATATTATGGGCCTGTAGAACATCTCCTAAGGAAGCTACTAACACTACGCCTTTCCAACTCACATTTGGTCATGATGCAGTGCTGCCAGTAGAAATTCATCTACAATCAGTTCGAATTCAGAGACAAAACGAAATCCCAGCTGCATTATATTGGGAAATGATGATGAATGAATTAGTTGAATTGGACGAAATTAGATTACATGCATTGGAAATTTTGATGAGACAAAAAGAAAGAGTGGCCAGGACATACAACAAAAGGGTGAAGAAAAAGTATTCATTATTAATGACTTAGTCTGGAAGGTTATATTGCCCATGGACAAGAAAAATAAAACACTAGGTAAATGGTCACCTCATTGGGAAGGACCTTTTCGAATATTAAAAGTATTCTCAAACAATGCATACGAAATCGAAGAACTGATGGATGATAACCGTATCCTAAAGGTTAATGGGAAATATTTAAAGAAATATAATCCACGCCCGCAGGAGATTCGAATAGTAACAACGTAACCAAAATATTATAAAAATGCCAAAATGGCAAGTTGAGATGCCAAAATGGCGTTGTTCGAATATTACATATAAAAAACCAAATTGTAATCAAATAAACACTGAAATTTAGAAATAAGAATTATTTTTCAATCTGTTGAAAGTGCTCCGAAAAGATTCAAGTCTCTGCTGAGCGAAACGCCTGGCTCCTTCCAAGATTGCCACTTCTCCTTTAAGTTGTTCTGCAGTTTCCATTTCTGCAAGCCCCTGGTTGAGAAGCTCTTCGAATTGGTTACCAGCAGTATTGGTTTCGAAGGCTATTTGTTGTTCTTTAGCCTCCTTAACCTTCTATTGAAGTTCCAGAATCTGCCTTTCCCAAAGAAGTATGGACTCAGCTCGAGCCTCATAATCAGTTTTCGCCTGCTTTAGATGCATAGCTTGATCCTCAGCTTCTTGAGAGAGTTTTGAAGCTTGTTCATAAGCAGCATCCATTGCAATGCGTTTTTCTTGAACCTTCTTGGCAGCAGATTCATCTTGGAGAAGGTAACCAGTTACGTTGTCCAGCAAAGACTGAAGATCGAACAAGATAGTAATAACTGGCAAGGAGCAGGTAGCAAGATTGACCTTTGTAAGCAACTCCTTCATAGTATAGCAAGCAGTGCTATCTTGTTTGAGCACTTCGAATATATCCACGTTGAGAATTGTTTTCCTGATCTTATTAAGAAGTACAATTCTTTCATCTGTGGGAAGAGGATAGCTGGTCGAACTTGTGCCAACCCTAGCAAGTGGGATGTCCCTTTGAGCCAGCTTTGCCTTCATGTACCCAATAGGGTCATTTCGTCTCAGGAGTGCAAGCTCCTCGTTAGTCATTCGAGACAAAGAGGATTGAGGGAGTTCCACACGTAGGGGAGTCACGTCCATTTCAACCTCCATGGGTTTGTTGGTTGCATCACCATCCCCTTCATTCGTTTCATGCTCATGATCTTCTTCATCATCATCCAAGTCCACCACTTCGATGTCTTCTTTTTCACTGCTATTTGCATTGGACTCCGTCTCAGCAGTCGAACCATCATTGGCATCCTCCTCCTCAAACTCTTCGTCTGCAGATTCTTCGTCTCTTTGGCCAGAATCAGCTTTCTCTCCTTCAGTTTGAGTGTCCTTTGGATCCTCTTGAAGGGTTTCAAGAGGGGACTTTTGAAGAGAAGCTCTTTGCAAATCCTCTGCAGATGTTTGAAGTGGTGTTTCGTTTGTCTCTTTCAGAGGAGGAGAGGTACTTTGATCATCCAGCTGTTCAGAAGTTCCAGCCAGAACCGCCATATTGGAAGAACCTTTGTTCTGTACAAGGTTGCTGGAATCTCCTTGAGGAGAGGAATTGAGTGGAGCAGCAGCTTTGGATGGTGAGTTCGAAGTAGTGTGTTGCACCCCAAAATTTGCTCTCCGAATTTCCTTTTTTGTTGGCTTAGACTTTTGCATTCATCTGCATCTTTTTCATTAGGTCACTAACATGGCATACATTTCATTCAATATAGCTCTGAGGTTCAAAGTTTAGTGGTTGTGCGATACTAGGGTTTCATAGTGGTTAAGGCACTCATATCCAATAAAGGACTTCTTCTCCCTCAAGCAGCAAGGCTATTATCTTCTGATAAACAACCGATTGTAGGTCATTCTAGTCAAGAACTCTAGGACGTGACCTAGCATATGTGGGCTTCGAATCATGACGTCCTTTCCTATAAGTATGCTTGTCATTTGATTAGGATTAATGACTGTGACATGACAATCGTCTACTCCTCAGTTAATCAAATTAGGTTTTGTTGAATCATGGTTCAAAGATGTTTTATCCAGATATTTCTCTGTGCGTCTAAACGAGGAATCAAGATTATGAGGGTTTCACATCAAGGGAATTCTTCTGTGATTCAGACTTTATCATCCATCTGTAAGGTGTTCCTTATGACACTAATCTCAAGTTGAAATAACCGATCGCTAAGGGCTGAGGATTGAATTGTGAAGCGTGGTTCATGACCTAAGATATGAATTCATAGATTTCTCCTTAACCAAGGCCATCATTGTCCTCATCATTGTCATTTGTTATCTGCGATGCGAGTAGGTTTGGATTGAAGTAGGTTTCTCAAAGAAGAATTCATGCAAGGTTCAAGGCATTCAAGGCAGGGTTTGTTCAACATGGCATACCTGGTTGATGAGCTTACAAGCTCTTATGAGACCTTGAGATGCATAATCATGGGTCAATTTCAAAGATATGTGGATAAGATCTGTTGACTTCGGTTAAAGTAAGCTTCGAAAAATTAACTTTGGGACCAAGGTCTCCCTTGAATTTTCATCTAATATGTGTTGGGAATTCGAGTTGCATTTGAAGAACGGTATGGTAAAGGAAAAGAAATATTGGTTCAGAAAAGGAAAAATTCATTAAAAATCAGGGTTTCTATTCATTGATAAAATTTCAAGATTGAATTTAGGAGTTCATTGAGAATGCAAGTGTGATTTGGATTTGAAGTTTGATTTGAGTTCAAGATGTTTGAAAGTGTTTGATTGGATTAAAGTTGGCAAAGAGCGTTAAGTATTGGTCATATGAGTTTCTTGGAAGGTAAAGTACAGACTGCAAGGTCTTGTTTCAAGTCGGAGTTTATACGCATTACAAAGACTTTCATCGTTATTTCAGGTTCAAGTTCACAATGCGTTCAAACATTTATTCAAGAAAATACTATCCAATTCCATTCAATTTCATTCAATTGTAACGACACCCCACGAGAAAATTTGATGCTTTCATATCTTCAAGCATTTTTTCAAGACTTTGTCATTTAAACTCCGTCCAAAAAAATCCATCACCCGACATTTCAAGCTCAAAGTCATTAATAAATCACACTATAAATTTCAAGTTCATCCAAATCAAACATTCATTATAAAATCATTACAATCCCATTACACCAATATTCTACAAAGAAAAGAAAACGGTTACAAAATACACTTGAACAAAATTCCTTAGTCCTAAAGGTACTAAAATTCCATGAGTAAACTTCTAATTCCATGCCATGCCAAAGTTCTTCATCTTCAGTTCATGACCTGCACATTCATACAAAAAAATCCAAGTCAATACAAGCAATCATGCCAAAATATCCTATGCTCATACAAATTACTCGACACATGAAAAACCATTAATTAACCAAGATAGCACCAGAGTACTCCGTGGATGGGCCTGAAAATCAGCTTGCTCAAAAAGCAGATCTCTGTTTTAGATCTGAGAAGCCACATTGGATGCCTTCAGGCTTCATTTCCCTAAGCGGTGGTGCAGAAACGACAAAGGAAGAGAACATGACTAAGGCTATAAAGAATATTCTTAGTGAGAATTTTGATGATGATGAAGCAACAGAGTCTCAGACTCTATTGTATAAAAATCTATGGCTTGAGGCTGAGGCTGCATTATGTTCCGTCTCTCACAAAAATCGCTACAATCAAATGAAGATTGAAATGGAGAAACAGTCATACAAGCAAAGAGACATGGAGCAGCATTCAAAATCAGAAGTTATTCCTAGTTTAAGCAGGAGTGAGAGTTCTGCAATTGAAGTTAACAAATGTCTAAACTCTTATTCTTCTACTGCTACCATCCCAAAGTAACTCCCATGAATCTTCTTCTTGTTTACATGGCTCTTGCCTTTGGAAGCTCGTGCTTCATATTCGTAAGGGCCGTTCTTGTTGCTACATTCGGTCTAGCAGCAGCGCAGAAGCTATTTTTTTTAACATGCTTAGAAGTATCTTCCATGCTCCAATGTCTTTCTTTGATTCTACACCAGCTGGAAGGATCCTGAACCGTGTTTCAGTTGATCAAAGTTGTTGTGGACCTTGACATTCCTTTTAGACTTGGAGGGTTTGCTTCATCAACAATACAGCTTATTGGTATTGTTGTTGTGATGTCACAGGTTACATGGCAAGTTTTTCTCCTAGTTGTCCCAATGGCAATTGGTTGTTTATCGATGCAGAAATACTACATTGCTTCCTCAAGGGAACTGGTACGTATTGTAAGCATCCAGAAATCTCCAATTATACAACTTTTTGGTGAATCGATTGCTGGAGCAGCCACAATCAGAGGTTCTGGTGAAATCACTTCAGAATACCAAATACTCAATCAATGAAAATCTAGAGAGTAGCTCTATCAATCTTTTTAGGCAAAATTCAATAGACCATGCTGTAGAGGAGGATGGAGAACTAGAAACTTTGGATAGTGGTGAAGATAATAATGGAGTGGATTCAGATGGTTCAGAATCATCTGATCAAGATGAAACTGATAGAGAGACTGGACGGAGCAAACAGATTTCAACTGTACCTATTCAGCTTAGCATATATTCGCCCAATGTTGTTAACTTGACACTCATTGATCTTCCTGGGCTTACGAAGATAGCTGTAGAGGGCCAACCTGATAGTATTGTGCATGACATTGAGAATATAGTTCGCTCCTACATTGAGAAGCCGAACTGTATAATTTTGGCTATTTCACTTGCTAATGATCGATGCTTCTAACAAAAGATTAGAAATTCGCAACAGCTCCCATAATGGTATTAATGTGCCAGATGCAAACCTTGTCCCTGTTTCATCCACCGCCGATGTCTTAAATTTGATGAACTTGGGACAAAGAAATCCGGCAGTTAGTGCTACTGCGATGAACAATCAGAGTAGTCGATTCTCATAGCTGCTTGACAGTTCATGTTCAAGGAAGAGAGCTTACGTCAGGAAATGGTCTACGTGGATGTATCCACCTAGTTGATTTGGCTGGAAGTGAGAGGGTTGATAAATCTGAGTTCATAGGAGATAGGCTAAAGGAGGCTCAACGTATTAACAAGCCCTCAGGAAAAATTACTTACAAAACTGGAAACAAGGTAATTTGCTGTTTGGAAGGGGCGAGAATTGGCATACAGTATGAGACATCTTTTGCTGGTGAACCTTGTGATTTTTACCACTGTGTACTGGAGAGCAAGTCATTTCTTGAAAAGATGACTGTCCTTGAGCACACACTTCCATATTTCTTGCCTATACACGAAATAGAAAAAGATCTCCTTTCATCCAATGCTATGAAATTCATAGATCATGTTGAAGATCTATTGCAGGCATACGTGGATAGACGGGAACAGGTCAAACTTATAAAGGAACTTTATGGAAATCAAATTGGAGAGCTATAATCTTGATATTGAGATTGATCAAGGGACTGTTGGCACATCTCAACAAGCTGAAAGTGGATTGCCAGATGCATTTGACATATCTCTGTCTCACTTTACTCTCGTTTTGGCACTTGAAAATGAATCTGGTGGTATCCAAGAAATTGCACTGGAGGTTGACATCCGTCTAATATTTAATTTGAGAACTACTGGAATGAATGAAAGCCAGTCAAACAAGAATAACAGTTCTGTGAAGGATGTTGCAGTTACTGATGTCTCTTCTCCTTACTTTCCGTCAAAAATCATACGTGAGAACTCTGTTGATTCACTACAAATAACTAAACAGTATCCTAGCTACTCTTCATTCCAAAACTAACACAACTTCCTCTAACAGCCTAACTCCTCTAACTCCAACCGATTCCAAACAGGACTTCTAACTTATAACTAACACAATTTCAACCAACCTTTCTAATTCACAGATTCCTAACCGTTTCTTAACCAACTTCCAAAGTAGAATTTCTAAACAACAAATTTCCAGCTTTCTTACAACCTATTCCTCAACTAAATTCCCTAACAGAATTTTCTAACCATAACTTCCTATCCAAAACCATATCTCAATTAACCAACTTAACTAACCCAAAAACAGTTACAGCATACCTAACATTCAGTAACCAATTCATAACAAACTTCTAACTTCTCCCTAACTTCTAACTATAACCAATTTTTTTCCCACCTCCTAACCACCTAACAGAATTTCTAACCTCCTAACTATAAAAACAAACTTCCAGCATATATACATAAAGGGGGGATGGACAGAATAGAGAGGATATTCAACACAGAAAAAAAGATTACCTCTCAATCATCTTATTCTTCAAGTTCACGGGAGAATCACCAAAAAATTCACCCTCTTCTCTCTGCTTCCTTCTCCATCACCACCAAAACAAATATTTGAGAATTCTCTCACTTCTCTCTTTCGATCTTCATTAGCATCCTTCATCATCTTCATCTTCAACTTTCATTCTTCAATCATCTTTCTTCACCAACAATTGCAGCCACTTCACATCCTCATTCACCTTCAACAAGACTCCATCACCTTCAAGCACGAACAACTTCAAACCATCTCCAAACCCTTCATCACTGCGTAACCTCTGTCATAAATTTTCAAGCCATGTGTTCATCACGACAACACACAGTTTTTGCCATTTTCACCATATGATCTTCATCGACATCAACATTCTTCATAAATGAATTGTATCCTCCAACCTCACTTTAATTTACTTCAACAATGCATCTTCGCCAACCTTCAAAATGTTCAATTCGGAGTTTTTTCCTCGGCTTACACCGCTTAAGGAAACAGAAAGAAGAACTGGAAGAAGAAGAAGAACAAAGAGTAATAACAAGAATCAGATAGGAAGCATACTGGAATTCGGAAGCTCCCGCTGGTTTTATCTCATCATCGCCGCCATTAAATCCGCATCGGACGGACTCCGATCGGTAAACCCTCTGAACTTTCCAATCAATACTTCGTCTATAGCATATATTTCTTCTTCTACCTATTGATACCACCATTAGAACTGGGGAATCCTTCACCTCGTCCACTGTCCTAACATTGAAGCGAAGAAAGATTTGAGGAATTAAGGTTGGAACACCTTTGTCTACGGTGGGGAAACATCAGAATCGATCGGCGTAAGAGAAGAGAGAAGAATGGAGTTTGTTTCGAAGGACCTCCGCCGCCGGCAATTTCACCCTAAACCCTTTTCAATTTTCCTATTTTTTCTTTTTTAGTTTTGATTATCTTATTGTTTTATTATTTTTAATTCAAATTGATAATAATTATAACTAATTAAATAATAAATAAAATGTTGAAAATCTTTTTGGGCAAATTACTTCAGCACCCATATTTCTAGACTTCATACCCCCTAACTCTTCTAATTTTTTCTTTTCTTTTATTATTTTAGTTTTTTTCTTTTAGTTTAATTTTTTCCTCTCAATTGACAATAAAAATAATAGAATATTTTAGAATAGAATTTCTTTTTAGAATTTCGATTAGAATTTTTTCTATTTTATTTTTCATATTCGATAATCATTTTTATTGCCATTTTCTAGTCAAGACTTTTTGTAGCATCGACATAACTCTTGCAATGTGGAATGCTCGGGGTGAACTCTTCAATCACTTGCCCAAGGGAACTTTGATAGAATTTTTTTACCGCTTGCACAATTTTGAAGAGGCAACGGACCTTCTCCGTTCGGTATCGTCACAACTCTATTTTTACTCCTGCACTTTACTACTTTCTAGGTAGAATTCCCTCGAGATTCTAACTTTAGGTCTAATACACGATAACATTAGATTTAGAAATAGGCTAGTCTTCCTGTGACTTTCGTCTTCCTGTGACTTTCGTCTTCTTGTGACTTCGTCTTCCTGTGACTTCGTCTTCCTGTGACTTCGTCTTCCTGTGACTTTCGTCTTCCTGTGACTTTCGTCTTCCTGTGACTTTCGTCTTCCAGTGACTTTCGTCTTCCTGTGACTTTCGTCTTCCTGTGACTTTCGTCTTCCTGTGACTTTCGTCTTCCTGTGACTTTCGTCTTCCTGTGACTTTCGTCTTCTTGTGACTTTCGTCTTCCTGTGACCTCCGTCTTCCTGTGACCTTCGTCTTCCTGTGACTTTCGTCTTCCTGTGACTTTCGTCTTCCTGTGACTTTCGTCTTCCTGTGACTTTCGTCTTCCTGTGACTTTCGTCTTCCTGTGACTTCGTCTTCCTGTGACTTCGTCTTCCTGTGACTTCGTTTTCCTGTGACTTTCTTTCCTCCTTTGCATATGCAGTTAAAACAAAAAACTTTCTTTTTACAAACTTCAAAAATACATAAAAATTTACTGACAAAAACCATGTCTTGGCTAAGTTTGAGAGATGATGAGCGGATTTCTTCTCGACATTATTATTCTCTTATTCTAAGCTTTGGTATGATTTAAGTCTCAAAGATTCATTTCATGAATAAGTAGAGAAATGGCTAAAATCTCTCCCTTGAGGTTAACTAGCTATTATCTACAAGCAAAAACACCAACAAACATAAAAATCTTTTTGCCCTCGGGCCTTTCTTTCAAACCCTTTTCAAAAGAGTGTATTAATTCACTTCTGTGCTGACGCGTAAATCTCCAAAGGTCGAGTTGCGGCAGAAGGCGAGATTAATACTGTTCGTTAAAGAAAATACAAACAAACAAAAACATATAAGCCGAACTACGGCTGCTCTGATTCCTCAAAAAGGATACGTAGGAATTGGGGTAGGGCCCAGGCGAGCACAATTTTATTTTCCCTACATTCTTTTCCCCTTTCTTTTGCATGCGTTCCCTTCAGTAGTATAATAAACAGTAAGCGTAGATTGAACACACCCATAAGATAGACAACAAGAGTGGATACCGTAGAGTACTACGGGCGTGTGGGGTGCTAATACCTTCCCCTCGCGTAACAGACTCCCTTACCCTTATCTCTCGGTCGCAAGACCGTGACTTCTCCCTCATCAGGTTTTCTCGATGTTTACCTTTCCCTACATGTGGGATAAAAGACGTTCGATGGCGACTTCATTATTTTGATGATTTTCAGCCGGTTATTTCAGCTGGCGACTTCACTAGGGAGTCAGGTCGACCAAATGCTAGTCCATCCCGGAGTCGCTCCTAGCTCTTGTTTTCTTTCCTTAGGGTGTTTATTTTTATGCTTTAAGTTTACTCATTTGTACATGTTTGCATTGCATTTTATGGCTTTCCATATCTGTTATCTATTATGCTGAACTTTGTTCTCTATGTTGGGTTGGGATGTCACTTTTGAGGTAAAAGGCCCAGTACCCATGCCAGAGTGCACTAGGACACCTAGGAATAGAGTGGGGGCATGACGGCTATAGGAAATGGTATGATTAGTGCAGTCATGTCATATACCACGCTCGGATGAGGTTCAATTGAAAGTACTTTCATCATGCACGTCTGTGTTGCGATGATTTTACTTTCAGGCGGACCCGTGATTTTCGAGTTACCATTATCTCACCCTGACCTAGTCTTCACACGTGAGTGGGGAGGGATTTATCATTACAGGAACAGTTGGTGACTATGTTCAAATGGTTACTCGTGCTCAGTTGGTGACTATGTTCTGATAAGTGACTGTTGTTCTGTTTGTGACTATATGGGTCTCAGATTTTTTTTTTCTGGATTCAGTATTCAGGATGGTTATCTAGTTATGTTTCGGACCTTTGATCCTGATATATTTTACTTGGTCAGAGATTATACAACGGTTAATCATGGTACTTGGTTCCATTGTATGCTGAATTTGGTTCTGAACCTTTGATCCTGTGATATCCATATTATTCAGCAGATTTATACAGCAGTTATCCAGAGGATTGTACAATTGTTATGCTGAACTTTTGAACTTATGTCATTGCACCTTGCATCATAACATGTTTATTTTACACAAAAAAGGAAATGGGAAAGATTATATGCAAAAAAAAAAATGTTTGAACATGTCATTGCATCCGCTCATTCACCTCATGCATCCATAGCAGGTACTCCGAAGGTATTCAGAAATGGGGAATCCTTATTCAGACTCGGTATTTTCTTTTCAGAGCTGCAAATCTTGACTTCTCGTCGCTTCATGGTCAGATTCAAGATATGGAACAACTTCGTGGGGAATTGGACGAGATGAAAGAACAGATGGGATTCGTGGTGCTAGACATGCAGGATTTGGTCCGTGGACAAGAACTCCTGAAAGAAGAGAACACTCAGTTGAAGACTCAATTGAATTTGGTTATGGAAATTTTGGGGACAATGTTGAAGAAAGAAGATGTTTCTATGCCTGCCACAATAGGAGTCACCATTCCTCCCCATAACCTGAGGACTCTTGTAGGTCAGGGAGTATCTCCTCCGCAACCGTGCATTCCAGGATCCTCCCATCCGCAACAAGTTGTCACTTCCCGAGAGGACCCAAAAGGCAAAGTCCGTCAGCAGAGGCCAAAACAGCCTGAACGAAAATTTGATCCTATTCCAATGTTGTATGCACAATTGCTTCCTCCCCTGCTAGAATTACATTGGTTAAACTCCGAATTTTCACTACACATGAAAAACTCCCTCATGGCTTTGACGACAATGCTAGGTGCGATTTTCATTCTAGGGCACCTGATCATGATACTGAAGATTGCGTAGCTTTTAAGCACCAAGTCCAGGACTTGCTTGATGCAGGGACAATTCTCTTCACTCCCGAAGGCCTAAGTGTGCAAATCAATCTTATGCCAACCACTACAAAGGATAGGGCTACGCCTTCTCCTCTTCAAAGTTCTATCTCACGATCAGAGTCACGTCATCCACAACCTATAATCCCGGAAAGTTCTCACCAGCAGTCGTTTGTAAGTTGTGGAAATCGGTTGGTTAATCAAAACCAGAATGTTCCTCGTGTTCACTTGGCTCAGTGTGCTACTCGGCAACAAACCCATCAACAAAGACATACGCAACAAGGTAAACAAAAGGATAAGAAGCCTAAGAGGGTGTTCGACATTATTCCTTTGACTTATGGCCAGCTGTTCTCTCAGTTACTCAAGCTTTCCTTGGTGGGACCCAAGCCACTGAAGCCTATCATTCCTCCTTGTTCTATGGATTCCAATCCTAATGTGCAGTGTGATTACCGTGTTGGGGCACTAGGTCATTCCATTGAAGACTGTTGGGCTTTCAAAGAAAATGTGCAAGACCTGCTTGATGCAAAGGCTATCAATTTCGGGCCAGTCAGTTAAATTTGAGGTCTCCTTCGACTCAGTAAATGTCAAGATTACCAGATCATCATCTGAAGCAACAAGTCCATACCGAGACTGGTCTCCTCAACGTAGTAATTTCTAGTTTCATTTTTAATTCTCATTTGTAATCTTTCTTGCTTTGGTTCAGTACTTTCTTGTATGCAAAACTTGTTGATTCTTGAATATTAATCATAATGCATTGAATATGTTTGTCTTGAATTAATCCATTCGTATTCACTCATTTATGTTTTTTCTTTACCTTTTGATACTTAACTCTTGTTAAATAAAAAAATCTGAAGGGAGGATGATGAGTAATATACCAAAAATTTCAAATGGTGTGCTTTTGAGTAGGACCCTGCTGACGATGTACAAGCCTTGTTTCAAATTCCCAAACACCGGAGATATAAGGGAGATAGACCCTCGTCAACCCCTTTGAGCCTTGAAGTAGGAGTTTCTTTTCTTTTCAGAAAAAACCTCACATTTAACCCGGGGCAGGGTAGATTTCAGTTAATCTGATTGGGCATTCAAAACTCATTAAAAGGGCACATCAAAGGATACAACAAAGGTTATCCTTCAGAAGGTTGAGAAAGAACAAAACCATAGTGGTTAAACTCTTATATATCAGCAGTGTGCATCAATGATAATGATATCCTAATAGATATCTCTCGCACATCGAAAGGTCAAAAGGTGACGATACCATAATGGCTATTTCCCGTCAACCAAACAGCAAGGCAGTCACACCTGTTTCAACAAATCAAATAATGACTCGAAATCACACGACTGGTTCAAACTAAAAGAAATAGTAAAAGAAAGAGACAAAAAGCCTTGCTAAGTCAAAACTTGAAAAACAAGTCGCTTAGGCAAAAGTCAGGGTATCCCGCTGGACTTCAAAATCAAATTCAAGAGGAATTTGTCCAGTCAAAAGTTAGGGAATACAAAAAGAAAGCGAAAAGCGCGAAAAGAGAAAAAAAGGATTACCAAATAAAGATTCTCCACAAAAATAAAGTCGTGTGATCAAAATACCAATAATGAAAGGGTGAGTGAATGCCATATCCTTCTCAACCATGGTAAACTCTTTTGAGGAATGAGTGCTCGTATTAGTTTAACTGAATTTAGGATTGGAGAACATCATGAAGAATGGGTGGGCACCAAATATTTTGAGCCTTAAATCCGTTTTTTTTTAACCATGAACCAGGCCACGTTACAACCCTGAAAAGTCCTAATTGAAGCAAGGGTTAATTCGAAAGCACACTGTAACAAGAAATACGGTAATCTGACTCCTAGGGAGGCTTGCAAAAACTTTTGAGTTGGTATCACTCTATCTTTTTACTATCTTTTGTACAAAATTTTGATGTTTCAAAATATTTTTTATATAAATCTTTTAACTTCAAGACAAACATGAGCTTTGCATTACAATTATCATTCTTATAATAAACATTCTTTGCATATGAGCAAGTGTTTAAACATCGAGTAAGTTTGCATAATGAGCATCAGATGAGAATTTAATTACCTCAAAGGAAAAATTGCTTCAGGACACCGTTTAAAGGTAAATCATTTGTGGGAATGGTCTTAACCTGGGGCAAATCTTCTATCGACTCTGTCGAGTAAAAGAATACCAGTTTGAGAAATGATCTGAAGTAGATTGTAAAAGTTGGTCGCCCAAGGTTTCTGATAAGCAGTGGTGCATTACTTTCAGTTGGTCCCAAGGGACATATCTCTTCAAGTATCTGATTAGAGATTGAAGCAGTTCAAGTCGAGGAGTATGGTTGTGAGGTAACCTATATTCAAGAGCCAACCACTCTAAGGTTACGTTGCCTTCGAAAATACTCAAATTTCTCATCCACCTGTGAGCATGAGGTAAAAGAAAAAGGTTTGTCGAGATTTTGTTAAGCAAGGGGCAGGTGTGTAAAATATTCCGTCGAGTAGGTATTCAGCCAATCTGAGGCATTCAAGTCAGGATTTCATCCCTCAAAGGACAGTCGAACTGGGGCAGTTACGTCGAGATTTGACAAATCTCTCTAAGAATGCATTGATCAGAGGAGAATCTTCCCAGAA